AAAGCACTATAACAGTATTGAGCATGGGCAACATTAGAAACTGAAGGAAAGCCAGGAGATGGGGAGAAAAGAGGCAGGGGTGAACTGCTTGAGCCTGGATGATCATCAGGGACCATCACCATGAAAGCTTTTTTAGCCATATCATGGAATATGCCTTTATATTCTATGACAATTAAAAATATTAGGGTTTTTTTGGTTTTGTTTTTTGTTTTTTTCAGTGGGAGGATTGTTGTTAGTTACATCTATAGTTAGCCAGGGGCTAACCTATATGTAGGTATGTAGACCAGTTGTACATTTTCAGTAGAAATATATGATAATGGGACCTAAGGGTGAAAGTATGAGGGGTGGATAGTTTCTTAAAAGTGAATGGATTCAAGAGCTAGAAAGGAGGTAAAATTGGCGTATCATCTTCTGTGATATTTATTTGAAGACCATGAGGAAGTATCAAACACTAGAAGAACATGTTTGCAAGAACACCTTCTAAGTTCAGTGTTGGACATGTTGAGCTTGAGATGTCTTGGGATATCACAGAAGAGAACAGGTATCCACAAGACTATGGGAGGGGAGTTTGTCAAAAAGAACTGGGGTTTGATGAATTATGGCTCATTTTCACATTTATGGGTCTGGAGATGGATGTGATTTTTTTAAAGAAAGATTTTTAAGTGGTAGAAAAGAATACTAGGACCAAAGTCTTGAAGAAATCAGACCCATAATGGTTCAACAGCAAAAGGTTACCCCAGTCAGGATGAGGGGAGGAGCAGCAAAAGTAACAGAAGGAAACCCAGGAGATTGATGGGTCATGGTGGGGTAAAGATTTCAGGAAGGTGGGAGTGATCATCAGCTAAGTTTAAGGAAAATGACAGAAATTTGGGGTATTTTGGATTTGGTTTTGTTTGGGGCTTATTTTCATTTGTTTTTGAGGAAAGATGGAGAATACTGATGGAGAGAGAATTGTTTTTCAAATAAAATAAAGATCAATTGCTAATGATATGTACTAGAAATGTAGTTGTGATTGATTCTGTCTGGTCAGAAGAGTTCAAGAATAGTTTACGAGTTCATATTTTGCATTTATCTGAAAAAGATGCTTGGGGAGCAGGCATGATAGAGAAACTCATGTTAACATGTCCATTACCACTAAAAAGAAAATAGAACTGGGTGGAGTTTGAGCATAGAACAGTCTGAGGTCCTAGGAGTGTGGACTGAAAAGAACATTTACATTTGTATACCAGGAAATTCTATGAGTACAGCCTCACCTGCTTGGCCACCAGTAGCACTTTTGTGGACAGGACAAATAAACTAAAGTTCCACCAGACATTGTTGACTCACTTCTGCCCTGGCTGGCATTGCTGTGTGAAAGAAGTAGCCTGTGAGCTGAGATGTTATAGCACACATGCTCAGTGATTTCTGTAAGGTGAGCTACAGCCTCAATCTCCTTCTCAGTTCCTGTTGCACACAAAAGTTTGAAGCAGAGTGAAAGCCACTAACCCAGAATAATGAGCAAAGTCATAATGCACATGTTAGACTGAAGTGGTGTGAGTGACAAAAGGGAGATCAGAAAAGAAAGCAAAGCATTGGTCATTATTTGCAATAGCTTAGTCATGCAATGGAAGTAAGAGATTCAGGGGCAGCCAGAAAGATAAGCAATTAGGTTTTTATTCAATCAACAAATATTATGCTATCTTACATTGCCAGGTTCAGGAATAAGCCCCAAGAAAGACACTGTCTATCTCTCATGGGAGATCCAACATAAGATGTATTTATTGCCATGAGATCTGTTTATGGGGTAATCTTAAATGTATTTTGTAATCTGTTTTGTCAAAATAAATGCAACATTTTTTTTCTCAGATGTGTACATCGCTTGATATATATAAAATGATCAAATAAACTTGTGTTTAAAAGAGAAAGAAAAAAAGTAAAACATTCACCTATACTTTTTTCCTCATCCTTTCTCTCCTTACATTTAAAAAAATATATTTATTTTATTTTATTTATTATTAATTTATTGTTATTTTTTTTAATTTTTATTTTATTTATTATTTTGGGTCTTTTAAATTTGGATGGCCTTACTATTCTCTGTAGTTCAGACAATACTTTCTAAAATTTTGTCTTTAACCTTATGTTCAGAACTATTCATGTTACTATCTTTCCCACCTCCAGGCAGCTTCACATGTTAGTATTTGACTTTTAAAAATCATTTAGTCAACTATTATTTATAGAGCATCCACAATGCTTATGCATTGAATATTACCTCATAAAATTTAGAAATGTGAATCAACCAAGTTTCCCTAGTCAGGTAATAAACTTCCTGAGCGCAGAGTATACTACTAAATATTCAGCTATCTAAAATAAAACCAGAGTATCATAAATGTGATTTTCATAGTAAGGATACAGTGCTTTTCATAGTAAGGATACAGGTAAGGACCTTTGGTTTATAGGGGAGGATACAATGAAACAAAAATCAAGGAAGATCCCAGAAAGAGGTATATCTGAACTGGGGATTAAAAGACAAGAATTTCAAATAACTGAAAGCTGCTAATCAATGTCTGGAAGGCAAGAAATAATTTGGGGGTGCATAGGAATCAGTGCAAGGAGATACTTCAGTATGGCTAGAGAGATCATATGGGTAAAGTGGTAAATGTATTGATCTCAGATCTTGGAAAACTGTTGAAAAATTTTAGACTTGAGCCATGGGGATCTGTTGGAGAGTTATTAGAATTCTCAAGCGGAAGCAGAAGTGTGTAGGTTAGGAAGAAAACTGGGAACACCCAGAAAGCTGAGAAATGATGAAGATGGGAAACAGAGAGCACAACAGAGGAAGGATTTACCTGATGGGAGATGATGGATGGTGCATGGGTTTCTGACAGTGGCCTCCGTGGACATGTAAATAGAGATTTCTGTGTTCAGATGGCCATAATCAATTGGGTATGTGCATTATGGGAAGGTACAATGATGAAAAGGGAGAATGAAGATCATATAAGACCTTTGCTGGGGACAGAGATGAAGCTATTAATTTTAGACAAGAAAAGCAAATTCAGAAGAGGATGGAGATGAGGATCTAGTCCTCATCTAATTCTCATTTGATGCTCAGACAAGCATCAAAAAATATGAAGGATGCTTTGATATGAATGAAATTACTGTCAAGCAACGAACCTTATTTAAGGCCCAAATTTAGAGAAGGAAAAGGAAAAGCCAAAAGAGGAAAATTCAGGGGAGTTTCTTTGGAGATGGGAAGTGAGGTTTCATGGAAACCAAAGAAAACATGAGTTTCAAGGAAGAGGCCCTGTGCTGTAATTTGTTTCATTGATAAAAGCATTTAGTTTTATCTCTTTCCTTTCTCTTCCTTTCCCCTTTGGAAAGCTTCATCAAATGGACTGTGCAGCTGTCAGTACTGTCTTATATCTGGTCCACACCTCACCTTTGACTAAGCTCTACCCCTTATTTACTAAAGAGCAGCAACTGACCTAGAGTCACTGGCAATCAATGACTTCCTTCAGAGACCCTTCCTCAGTATTGAGAACATGACTTAAGAAGCTCCTTGTGTGTTTGTTAGAGAAGCACAAAGAGAAAGGAGAGCTAAATGATTTGCTATTCGGGTGTTATTGGGCATATATATGGGGCGGGGAGTGCCAGGGATTGAACCTAGGGACACTTAACCACTGAGCCACATCCCCAGCGCTTTTTATATTTTATTTAGAGCCAGGGTGCTAAGGGCCTCACTGAGGCTAGCTTTGAACTTACAGTCCTCCTGTCTCAGCCTTCCAAGTTGCTGGGATTATACGAGTGTGCCACTGCTCAGGGCTGGGTTTATATTTAGGATTTCCCTGATCTAAGCTTCTGGTTCATCTCTAGAAATAATACAATTTTTACAGAAATAATAACCATCTCCAAATAAAAGTGCTGTTTTGCTTTTCAATTTTCATGCTAAGTAGTCCAACCTAGTAATAAAATAGTTCATTTTATCTCAATTCCCCATATTATTTTTTATATGAAAAATTTCTCTACACATTTTATATAGGAGGATAAAATACTTGGTTTCTTTTCAGGAAGCAATGTGTTTTCACCTTAAGAGTAGGCGTTATAAGACAAACTATTTTCCTTTTATCTAAAGTACTAAGAAATTCAAATAAAAGTTATACTTCAGCCACTTTTACTGTGTTGACCAATACAGGTTACGTATGTAAGCTTCCTTCTTTTTTTATTCCCAACACTATTTTCTTATTTTATTCATATTTCCTTAAGTTTGTTTTGGAAGCCACCTCAAATCCTTAAATAGGTTATAAACAAATTAACTACTGTTAAAAGATAAATAAAGCAGCTGAATTTAAACAAGTTTACTTAAGCAAAAAAGAAAAAGTTTGAGAATCAGGTAGCATCCAAGACCAATGAGGCTTCAGAATGCTCTATCCCACCACAGGGGACAGGTTATATTTATAACCAGAAAGAGAAATGATACACAGAAACAATCTGATTGGCTGCAAATTGGCACCTTTCAGCCTGTGACTGACTGGAAGTTCAACAGCTGTGATTGGTCAAGACTCAGTTGCTTCATTACAAGTGTAAAGGCTTAGATGGGGTTGGAGTTTGTTTACAACCCAAGTCAGGGTAGAGTTCCACTATGTACAGAGGCTGCTTTAAGTTATACTTATGTTGAAGTACAGAGGCTGATTTAGGCCACACTTGTTTTGGTCCAACAGTACTTTATTGTTGACTGAATATCTTTCCACGCACCATCTCATTTGATGGTCAGAACAGTCTCAGAGTCGGGGGAATTGAGCCTCCTGGGAGTTGGGTTCAATTCCAGGTCTTCTGTCTCTAAAGGTGGTAGTCATTTCAGCCTTTCTTCATTCCACTTTTATCACAGCTGGGAGAGTTGTAAGTGACACATGACTTGCTGGGGTAGTTCTTGTTCTGATGAGAAATAATCATTAACGTAAGAAACATATTGTTTGAGTAGTTTTCTTCTTGATGTGAAACATCCCATGCTTGTGTCTCCTTCTTAGGTTTTACAACAATAGAAGAGCACATGAAAGAGGGCTCTTCATCAGGCATTCTTGATTAAGCTATGAAAATGGAATCAAAGCTTATTTTCCCCGTTCGTATGGTAAGTAACTACTAATTTGAGTAACAGTTGGCTTTTCCCTGTTCATGATTTTCTTACAATATTTAACAAAGAAATAGAAACGCTTCTTGTGCAAAGATGGCATGACATGAATAATATCCAGATTTGTCTTCAGAATGTTATGTTAAAAAACACAGATAGATACTCAATTTTTTATATTCAATGGTGGGTTTTATAAATCCTAGTTGAATGTGTTTTTTATCTGGTTTAGAATTTGAATCATTTGACATACCTATAAGTTTTGATCATTAAAATAACATAACTCTTCTGCACATTTTTTCCACACTCAAAATTCCTTAGCGAGTAGCATTTTGTGCAGAACATTGACATGTGGGCTCTGAAAAGTCATGGCCACATACAAGGAAGATTTAGAAATGGCCAGATTGCTGTGCAATGGCATTTCTCTTCTTCCCAGATGCCCTAGCTTGGAGCATCCGCCCCTCTTGGCCTCAGCACTGACTTTCTTTAATTGGAAAAACTTATTATCGCTCCGTAAGTGATTAGAACTAGAATCATCCCAAGTGAGTGAAATCTGCTTTTGAAGAAAGGGCTGCATTATTGAGGTTTTTCCCCAGGGTATTGTACTGAGAGGACTTGAAATGATTTGAAATAGACAGTTTACTTTCTTTTGTCTACCCTTAAAATCATTTGTTATTTTTACTCTTTATTGTATTTCATTTTTTTATATGTGTATGTGTTCCAATGCATTTTTAAAAGAGTAACTCTTCATACGTATCTGTGAATATTGTAAAATTTCATTTATTCCAATGAATTGGGGGGGACAGCATTTCTGAATTTGTTGGAAGGCTGAATTATAGATAACTTTTAAACAAATGTGGCTTTTATTACCTTTAACTACATAGAGTAACTTCAACAAAGCATTACAAAACAGAAGTCCTTAAGGAGACCTGTTATAATAAATCATATGAACATTTTGTTATTAGCATATAGATTGGATGTATGTAGAAGCTTGTAAAGTGCCCGAGGTTCCTTGAAAATTGTTTATTCTGCGTCTAAAAAGTGTACATAAGACTGAAAATAAATGTTTAAAATACCATATATTATCCATTTATAAATAAAGTATTTGCAAAGTAAAGGTAAACATCAGCCCAGTTCATGAACAAATTATCAGAAGACTTTAAATTTGTCAGAGCTCCAAATTAATGAGATATTACAAAGTGTGCATAAATAACTTGAAGAATAAAAATTGCTGATCCTTTTCTCATATGGGTATTTGTGCTAATGAATCAGGATCCTATTTACACTATTAGTCCCCGAAGTAATTGCTTATTTGAAGAAGTTCTGTCTTATGGGTTTTCAGTTAATTAAATCCATTTGCATTTTATGCACACATTTCAAATTCTCAAGTCCTAGTTTTCATAAGCCACATTCAAATATATTCATGTAATAATACCTCTCATTAAGGTACTAGTCTTTCATTTTTAAAGGAAATTTCAGAATAGCTATATGCATTAAACACTTAATGAAATCCTATCAGTATTTTAGAAAAGTCAACCCATTAAAGTTATGTTTTTAGTTTAACTTTTCTATTTGGGGAGGTGATTACTATGCTGAGCATACCTTCAATTTCTAATGTTTCATTTAGTCTAATTTATTCAATGAATTTTTTTTTGCTCTGATTCTGCATGTCAGGTTTTAACTTCTAATAATTCCTTTAGAATTACAAGCACTTATAATTTTTTTAAGGTATGCACACTTTAACTGATAGATCTTGCCTACCCAATCGAGAGATCACAAAAAAAAATGGAGAAATTTTTTTCTAATTCTCATTCTAAGGAATAGAGAATAATAATTCACAAAGTTAAAGATATTTTAAAGGGTATAGTTTCTAAATACTTGGCTGAGAATTTGTGGATGAAAGTGTATATGTGATAAAAATTGAAAATGTCATCATTAGATTCAAACTATGAAAATATTTCAGTCTGACCTAACTTGTAAGCTTGAAAAATATCTGAAGGTAGCAAGATGGAAGAACAGAGGGACAAGCAACAAACCAGGGAGCAACCAATAAACTACATGGCCTGTGCAGTGGACCCAGGGATGTTAATTCAAAGTGCATGGGAAGTCCAGGCACTGGGCAAGGCACAGGGTACAATTTAGGAAAGATTTAAAGTCCAGTTTTGATTTCATGCCTAACTAAACTATAAGTAGTTATTGGGTGTCAATCTAGTTCAGAGTTTATTTAGGTGTACTGGATAATGTATCTAGTATATTCCTCCTTGCAAGGCAGAGAGGAAAAAGCAGAATCTGGATATATTTAGGTGCAAACTCCAGCCTAACATTGCGTCTGAATCAATAAAGGTTGTAGTAGCCATATGGAAAAAGAAGAAAGAAGTGATCCCCTAAAATCAGAAAAGTATGAATGTTACACTGTTCTTTGCAGTATGGACAATCTACTCTTATAAATCTACTTTTATCATGTTAACATAGGATTATACTATAGGCATGAAAAGAAAAATAATTTTTGATACCCTGAAAAACTCACATCTTAAAAGAAAATAAATTTTATTCAATTAGATCTTATTGATTCATTTAAGCAATGATCTATGTAAAGGGTAATACCAGTAGTCTCCTAAGAAGATATAATTTTATTTGTTGCTGGAATTGCCCTAAGGAAGCCTTTCTTCTCATTTAGAGAAAGTAGGGATAAAGCACTTGTATTACCATTTGTATAAATTTTTAATACTGAATAAAATATTAGTGTTTAGCTTAATATTGATTCTTAGCATAATATTCCTCCATAATGGCATGCTAATTGGTTAGAATTAAATCAGACAGATTCAAGAACCCTGAGAATAGACCATCTAACACTTGTAATTTTTTTTCATTAGTTTCCAGAATTCCAATTAAAATGGAATTAATCTGTTGAATAAAAGACCATGCATAGTACAATAAAATTTCTGTGCATTATGTCATATGCACCTCCTTCCCTCCCACTGCTTCATCCTGTTGATGAGATACAGGAGTGGAGGGAGATAGGAAGGGGGAAAGGATAAACATGAAATTCACATATGAATGTTGAACACAGTATAACAGTGTTCAGGAGTGAGGCAGTCTATATGCATTGAGCCCTGAGACCTAAGGTATTTTACTTAAACTCCTTGGAGCCACAGTTTCCTCATCAGTAATATTAGTGTTGACCTCCTAAAGTTACTGAGGAAATAAAGCAGAAGTTTTTAACAGTAGAGTTTCAGATAATTTTGTCCCCCAGAGATACAGAGTAATGGCTGTCACAATCAAAGAAGGTGGATATGCTACTGGCATCAGTGAACAGAGGCTGCTAAGCATCCTTAGCACCTCTCCACAAAGAGTCATCAGACCCAAAAGATCAAAAGTGTACGGGTTGGGAATCCCTAAAGTCAAGTCAAGTCTATGTAATGAACACAGGGCCTGAAACACAGTAAACCTGCAACAAATTAATATTTACAATGGCATTGTTGTTGTTATGCATTTGAGAAGAAATACTGAATCAACAATAAAAGTTCTGTGCATTATGTCATACGCACCTCCTTCCATTCCATTGCCAATCACCTATCTAGTCCTAGTACTGAGTGCTATATAAACAATTTAGTAAACCCTCCCAGTAGTTAGTCATGCCTGTCTGCCAACTCATCTGCTCAGGTAGACAATTTTTAGGTGCCTTTATGAGAACACTGACCCATTTAATGCTTAACTAGAATAGCAGTCCAAAGACAAGATGTACTAAAGTTCATGGGCCACCATTTAATTTGTATCTTTGCAGAAATTAGAAGAAAATAGGAAAAGTCAAACAAAAAGTAACTTACATTACCAGGTGACTGTTACTTTTTAACTTCTTCTGTTAATAATGCATCAGGAGTCTCCTGCTGATGATCATGTTTTTGTTTTATAAAATAAACTGATGTTTTGACAAATGGATAGGAAATATGGTCTTTTGATTAATATGAGATCCTGATTAACTGGTTATATGGTACATGAATACTGTCAATTTCAAAACAAGTTGAATACAACAAAAGGGTTTTGACTTAATGTTAAGACTATGTTAAGGGGAGAAAATTCTTGCTTAAGTGTTTTGAAATCAAAAGACCTGAGTTTGCATTTTCAGCTTTATAAACTTTAAGCTATGTGACCTTGTTACCTAACTTCTCTGAGCTCACTTTCCTCATCTGTTTAATGAGCATTGGATTACCTCATTGGGTTGTTGAGACAATTAAATGACACATAAAATATTTGGCATACGTTATCAGTAAGTAAATGGTAGCAGTTATTATTTTCGTCATTATTATTTCTTTGACTCAAAAGTAATTCTTCTCAGGACTTTGAGTTTAATATCATGGCCTTCTTTTCTCATTGTAAACTATGATGCTTAGGTACTTCTTATTAACAGAAGAAGCTCAAATTATATCCATTACCTCAAGAAACAAAAATCTTAGACTCAATTCAATAAAATTGATTTATGAAGAAAAAAAAGAAAACTTACATATTAAACATAGAATTTCCCACTGAGATTTTTTTTTAAGGAAATGGTAGATTTTCAAAATTAAAGAATAAATGATGTACACATCTTTCTGGTGTATTTTAATATAGGCAATAATCCCCTTTTTAATTAGCCACCTAATTATAACTCAATAGAAATTTCCCTGGGTAATTGTAGTAACCTACTTCAGAGAGGGAAGTGGCACCAAGCGGGCACTCCTGCTGTGCATTTTGACACGTTTTTAGCTTCAATTTGTTCTAAATCTAAACAGACTGGGAGAGATGGGAGAAGGTTCTGATTTATAACCTAATCATTACAATTGCCAGGAAGGTTGAGTATAAGGCTGAACTCACCTTTCATCTGTTTTTATTTTTCTATTTTCTTTGCTCCCTAGAAAAGACTCAACATTTTTATGTGCACCCATCATTCATGTGTTTTAAATTTGAAAATAAAAATATAATGAACCCAAGTTATATCTCCCTTCATTGTTTTTGGTAGTTGTTTT